GAAATCAAAAGAAAGCCATGACTTGTTATCTCGTTGCAGCTTTTCCCCGGCCTTTGCTGACGAGCCATATCTTCAGCTTTGAAGTCAGAGCCACTGGCAATGTCTCAAGCGCTGCTGCCATCAAGTGAGCGCCTCTTCATTAAATCCTTGAGCTGCTTCTAATTACTGGCTGTATCAGGAGGCCCTTGGTGCTGGGCACTGGGGCAGAGAACAATGTGCATGACACAAATCCCAAAAATCACAGGGGAGGCTGGGGACACAAGTCGCAGCAGACAAGGCAAACCGTCGATATCTCACTGCTACTCTATTTCAAGACTGAACTTTAAAAATGCGGTGTAACAGCAGCCATTAACACAGATCTTGCCATATATCAGTGAGCAAAGCAGCAACAGGAAATAGAAATAAAAACAGATGATGAGGTTATATGCATACTGGCTTTCTTTTTGTTGGCTGATGTTTCCAAGTCTGCAGCAAGGGATTGCGAGGTGGATTTCATCTGCATCTTTCATCCTGAAACTCTCAGTTCCCTTGTCACCTACTCTTCTAGCTGCTCTATTTATAACTTGTAACCATAACAACTGGTCTTTTCTCTTTGCCAAACGAAACGAATTCTTGTCACTAGGTGTCTTTGTGCTTCAGATGAAAAGAATAGTACGCCAAAACTTTCATCAGTGTTGTCAAAGATGACGTTCCTCTCACAACGCGTTAATGGTGGAAACCGCAGCAATTAGCAGGTATTTACATTATTATCTTATAGAACGAGCATTCCAGTGAAATCATTGCCTTTTGAATCCCAGGACCAAATCTGGAGCACTTTGTTCCTGCGTGATGAATAAATTGTCAGTGCTGAAGGGTGACTGAGAGAGATGAATCAGACTTTGAAGAAGAGCACAGGCATTGTTTTCTGCAAAGTTTCATCTACTTTGCATCAGGTTTTAAGACAGAGAAGAGCTGGCAGATTTAGTTTTAAAGCTCAGATCTGACGTTTCTTTCGATAAGGTTTTGATGGAAAGAAAAAAGAAAACAAGTTTGACGCATGTTTGAGAGTATGATTAACAAACAGGCACCTTGTGGTTTATGGTTGTATGGATTTTACACAATTGTTTTATCATTTTTACTGAAGCAACTCAGTCGCATGCGTGCGTAGACACACACACACACGCACTTCCCATCACGCAGGTTATGTTGAACAAAGTCTGAAATCACTCTGAGCTACAGTGTATGCAGCTGGGGAGTAGTCACGCAGAAACACAAAACAGTGACAGTACACCCTCTCAGGAGCTGAGGGTAACAGGCGTTTAGCTGACGAAGGGTGAAGCCAGTGTTTGACATCTCGCTGCTCCCACCATCCCAGATTATTTATTGAGCACTAATTGCTCCCAGAGGGACCAATCCCATGGTCATACCTAAATGAACCTGACCCAAGTGCATTGTGGGGTAGGGGTGAGATTGTTTCTAATGTTGCAGTCTCACAGGCAGACAGATCTGAGATCGACTCAACAACACGGGCTTTTGGAGGTGGGGAGCGGGTGAATCATTCATCCCCTTACTGAGAGCGGAAACCCAAACTGTTTATTTGCAAAAGCACTGATGGAAAATAAATAAACAACGCAATTTCTCTTGTGGTGTAACAGCAGGGTGGGGGATTAAAAATGATTATCAAAATCTTATTACTTCTGAATGTGCTCTGACCTTGTTTGTAATGTAATTTGGAGCGCCTTAAAAGATTATGATGAGATGAGTCACATTCTAGTTCCCAAATTAAGGAACAGAGTGGTCTGCAGAGGGTCCAGAGTGAATGTTATGCTAAAAACAATATTTCAGTCCGATTCAATTCATTTCAATGCCAGTACAAGGTTGAACGGTTAATGGCCAAATCTGTCACTCTAAACTTACTGGGACATCAGAAGTGTGAAGATACTGAGTTGAATTCAACAAGTTTTTTTATTTTAGATGATGCACGTACAGTACAAATTATCGGAGCATAGACCTAGACCACTGGATCAGTGCTGTCACTGATACAGACCTTATTAAATGGATTGACTCAGTGTTTAGTGCCAGCAATTCCTCCTGTTACCACGCAGTGAGGTACACTGAAGACGCTAAACATTTGTAACAAAGAGAACACTGGTATTAGATCAATACTCTGTATCAGCTGATTTGTTGAGGTAACACGTGAGAGAAAGTCAAATAGGTGCAGCCCTACTTCAGTCTATCTATCTAAATCAAATTAGTAAGTTTCTCAACACTGCATTTGCTATAAAAATTCACTTTTAAAAATCCTGCCTGAAATTAACTGACAACTAACTGACAGCACCACGGCCACTTTCTGGCTTTATTTATGTCGTTTTTAACTGAGACCCAAGGTGTCTGCATTTTATAGTCTGAACCTTTTATACTGCACTCACAGCATATTAAAAATGTTTCATCAAGTACCTCTAAACGACATGTGTTTACGTTCAAGTGACCTCTAGCTGGAATCATGACTCTAGTCCAAAAGAGCAAATCAAGTGACGGTATTATAGAGTGAAAGAGTCTGCAGAGGGAGGAGGTTGGATGGATGAATGGTTCAACAAAATGTTGAACTAACAAAGAAGACAGCTGTTTATTACCTATTATACATACAGTAAGTGTTTATTTTAACCATGACCACAATTGTTCCCTCACTGTAACTACTGGTTATTATTGTGACATCATGATCTCAGCCTGACCTTCAACCAAACTGTTTTTGTGTCTAAACCTTGAGATTGTAACATCAAATAACTGATTTATTTTTCAAGAGCGATTTCTATTGTTTTTTCCCCATTTATTTGTAAACTCTAAAAGTGTTTACCTTTCTTTTGAGGAAACAGAATTTTTTCTTCTTCTTATCAAAAGCATCTGGGGTATAGTGCAGACCAGACATCTGATGACAGAAATTCAGCCTGCCATCAATTTAGGGAATAATAGCTCTAATAGTTTTACAGCCTTGTACCCTTCCACAGGTGCACACACACAATGAGTTCAATCATATATTCACCTCCACAGAAAGGTGATGATGTCACTATTCACCCACTGCTTTTAAGAAAATAAAAATAAAATAGTGCAGACCTCTCCATTTTTTATGTTTGACGCCATTGGTCAGCACTAAATCCGTTAGAGAGCGAGGTTATAACTCCATTATTTACATTTGTAGGGCATTTGGAGTAAAAAGAGACAGGTGATATAACAAAACATGTTCTCAGCAGAGCTAATGATACCTGAAAAATAACTCATTTTGCATTTAATTAAGCTTTTTCAAGGACAAATGGTATGTATTTCTGAAGCTGAACCGGGGGAGGGTCGCTGCGGCATCTGCTTTCTCCTGTTATCTAAGAACTCATTGTTTGCTTGCTGCAGGTTAATAATCTCCACTTTTAATTATATCAGCCTAAAATGGAGCAGCTTCCAAAAATCTTGCATTTTCCTTTTCATTTGATTTCATTTCTCTCAATGCTCTAAGAATCACTACAGCAATAAGCACAGAGGATACACAAACAGGATTACTTAGTGTGGGCATGCTAAAAATCAATTCAATACTGTTTCAGTTGTGGAAGCCAGTAAACATGATTTATTTCTCTGACAGCCATGCATACTGTACGTAAGCCTTTTAAAAATATTTAGCCAATTTTACAACTGAAATATCCCTTCATTCAACATATGGTAAGTGTATCAATGTATGGTAAGTACATATAAGCCACAATCTGCTTCTTTCATAAAGCACAAGCATGTCATATATTTGTTATTACAATGCTAAGACATTAAAAATAAATGTTGCAGTGGGTATACTGGTGATCAATGTGTTACTGTTTTTTCAGAATAAAGAGGCTCTTTCTTTGCAATACAAAACATCCTCGAAAAACCAACAATGACTTTACAGTAATCCCATATTTCTCTGAGCTATCTGACACCACAAAAAAATCTGTGTACATTACTTCATTCTGATAGCAATCATAATTCTGTCCATTAGTGTTAGTATTTACAGTGTAGCCTCCTTCAGGGTTATGAACATGGACTATAACTGGAATCCTATATTTGCGATAGCAAATATCTTTTGGATAATATTGTGCCCAAAAAGTGTTGCATGTCAACTTTTTTGACTGTGTGGGAAAACCTAATAAAACAATGCAAATGACAATATTAGCTGGGTTTCTGAGGCATTTACCACCCACTTTATTCGAGGGAACTCGAAATGCGTCGGTGACGACACTACGGGAACGCCTCTGGGCGTGGCAGGGCTGAACTATGAATGAAACTACTCCAATCCTATTGGTGTTACTAGAACGGTAGTGTGTGACGGTGTAACCGGAGGGGTATATAAGCACGCCGGCACACAGGACACATTAGCTCTTTCTATTCAGTAGGCACTCTGGCTATGAGATCCATGGCGGCTTTGGTGGCTACGGAGCGCCATCTGTGGCTCAACCTCTCGGGCATCCAGGGGAGGGAGAGGGCTTTCCTCCTGGATGCGCCCCTCTCGCCTACTGGCCTGTTTGGTGAAGCAGTGGATGCTGTAGTCAACAGGTTCCAGCACGGCAAAAACTCAGGGGGAGGCGTTTGAGCTCCCCCGCCGGTCAGACTCCAGGACCGCGACGGTTCAGAAAAGGCGGACGCAGACTTCATCCAGTACCTACCGCCACAGCCAGAAGTAGAGCGTCGCTTCACGGGATCCCCCACAACCAACCTGGAACACAAGACAGCGCTCTCGCCCACAGCCCCCCGAGAAGACGGATCTGAGGACCGTCATTCAGTCTCGGCGGGCCCGGGGGAAGAGGTCCTGAGACTTTGAGTAGGGGGACACACCGCCTCCTCCCCCTTCCCCTGAGAGAGGCCGATCGAGGTCCCCTCTCTCATGGTGGTTCCAGCAACAGGCGTTGTTTCTCCCACCGATTCAGCGCTCGGGACGCACTAGTCACCAGCAGGCCCTCACCGGTCTGTCCGCCCCAAGGGCCGGCAGCCGGAACACGACTGGGCTCACAAACCGTGGTTCACCGGCGAGTTTTCCCTGGCAGTCCTCCGCTTCAGGGCGCCACCGGGGTTCGCCCCCCCCAGATTCTGTGGGGTGGTCGGGACTGCAGTACACGCAGAAGAGAGCCAGGTGTTGGGACAGGAAGTCCGCCCTCTGCTAAGAAAAGGGGCCATAGAACTCATTTCCCTGCCGGTCAGAGAAGCCGGCTTCTACAGCCGATACTTCCTGGTTCCCAAGAAGGACGGAGGATTGCGTCCGATTTTGGATCTGCGGTCCCTGACCCAATCTCTGAGGAGATTCAGGTTCAGGATGCTTACCATCCCTGCCATCATCAGTCACATCCAATCCGAGGATTGGTTTGTCACAATAGATCTGCAAGACACTTATTTCCACATCTCCATCCGTCCATCTCACAGGAAGTTCCTGAGGTTCGCCTTCGGGGGCACGGCTTACCAGTATCGGGTTCTTCCGTTCGGCCTAGCACTCTCTTCCCACACGTTCACCAAATGCATGGATGCAGCTCTGGCCCCGTTGAGGCTCCAGGGCATCCGCATACTGAACTACATCAACGACTGGCTCGTCCTGGCCCAGTCTCGAGAGTTAGCGGTTCGGCATCGAGATGTTGTCCTCGCCCACCTTCAGCATTTGGGGCTGCGGCTCAACGCGAAGAAGAGCGTGCTGACGCCCACCCAACGGACTACGTTCCTAGGGGTGGTGTGGGACACGATCTGTCTTCCGCACGCGTCGAGTCCATTTTGTCCACAGTGACCAGAGTGCAGTTAGGCCGCGCCATCACTGTAAAACACTTTCAGAGGGTGTTGGGTCTCCTGGCAGCAGTGTCCAGTATAATACCTTCTGGGCTACTGCACATGAGAGCCCTGCAGTGGTGGCTAAAATCCAAGGGATTCTCTTCGAGGGGAAATCCGCTCCGTCTGATACGGGTTACGAGCGGGTGCCTTCGTTCCCTGTCTGTATGGAGGAAATCTTGGTTCCTGTCCCAAGGTCCCGTGTTGGGAGCGATCTGTCACCGAACAATTATTTCAACAGATGCCTCACTCATGGGATGGGGCGCGGTCATGGACGGCCGCTTCGCGAGAGGCTCCTGGGAGGAGCATCATTTCTCTTGGCACATAAATTGCCTGGAAATGTTGGCAGTTTTCAGAGCTCTGAGGAGTTTTCTGCCCGCCCTCCGCGGTTGCTACATCCTTGTCAGAACCGACAATACGGCAGTGGTGGCCTATTTCAATCACCAGGGGGGTCTGCGCTCGCGCCCGTTATGCAAACTGGCACATCAGATCCTCCTGTGGTCCCAGCAGAGACTGCTGTCCCTCAGAGCGATGTACATCCCTGGGACCCAGAATGAAGGAGCAGACCTGCTGTCGAGACAGGGGCTGTTCCTGTTGTCAGCCTCACTCGTCGTGTCTCCCTGTTTCCCTGCTCGTTTTGGATTTTGATTTTCTGTTGGACAAGCTTTGTTTTGGACTTAGTCTTTCAGCCACTCAGTCTGTAAGTGTGCTCGCTTTTTGTTGCCCTTAAATAGATCTCTGAACTGCACCTACTAGCCTTCGTGTCCTGCGTTTGGGTCCTCCAACCTGCTCAACCCTGCCTTCACCTCAAAACCGTGACAGCCGAGGCTGCGTCTGTATGCGTTTCCCCCAGTCGCTCTGCTCCCGGGGGTTCTGGAGCGGGTCCGCCAGGACATAATATCGGATATAATATCGCTCCTCGAGGGCCCACCCTGGCAGGTCCCTCTGAGGAGAGACCTGCTGTCCCAGACGGAGGGCCGGATCTTTCACCCGCACCCTGCCCTGTGGCAGCTATGGGTCTGGCCCCTGAGGGGGCGCAGTTCCTAGAGGCGGGCCTGACGACAGGAGCAGTCGAGACGCTGCTCAGCTCCAGAGCCCCGTCCACGAGAAGGATGTGTGGCCTAAAGTGGAATGTGTTCACCACCTGGTGCAGAGAACGGTCGGTGGACCCAGTTACCTGCTCGTTAATTGTGATACTGGAGTTCCTCCAGCACCGTTTCTCCGCTGGCCTCTCCCCGTCCACGCTCAAAGTGTATGTGGCTGCCATTGCAGCATTCCACGCCCCTCTGAGTGATGGGCCCTTGGGGAGGCTTTCACTGGTCGTGCGCTTCCTCCGTAGAGCCAGGAGGATGAGACCCGTGACTCGTTCCAGGGTTCCCACCTGGGACCTGGCAGTGGTTCTCAAAGCGCTGGCTGAGGTCCCCTTCGAACCCCTGGAGTCGGCTGAGGCCAAGCACCTGACCATTAAGATGACCTTTCTCCTCGCTATCACCTCTCTGAGGAGGGTGGGGGATCTCCAGGCACTTTCGATTTCTCCCCAATGCCTGGAGTTTGCCCCGGGGAGGGTCAGGGCCATCCTGCACCCTTGTCCAGGTTATGTCCCTAAGGTTCCGGCCAGACCGGCAGGGTCCACGGTACTGCAGGCGTTTCATCCCCACCTCATGTGATGACGGAGGACGGGAGACTTCATCTGCTCTGCCCTGTCAGAGCACTGAGTATTTACACTCTGAGGTCTTCCCAGTGGAGGAAAGCAGACCAGTTGCTGGTGTGTTTCGGGTCCCCCAAGGCTGGGCTCCCTGCTTCTAAACACACCATCAGCAACTGGATTGTTCAGACTATTTCCCTGGCCTATCAGGTGCGCGGTTTGCCTTCACCTACGGGCAACACCGTGCAAATGTCGTCCACCATCATCCCGCTGTGCAGCACCACAGATGAAGAGACATTTCTTGTAGAGTGTGCTCTGATGCTCTCTGTGGAAGCCTCACTGCAGGACAGATAAGCCTGCAATATGGCCTCACACAGCCAATGAGATAGGCACTGTGCTGATAGAGGGAGACCCAGAGACTATTCTCAGGCACTGGCAATGGCGCCAGGCATCCATGCACACAACATAAAATTACAGTGTGCACACTGGACAGAGGAGATGGGATACAGCTTCTTCCTCTTACCTGTGAGGAGGACGGAAGAAGCCGGCCAGAGTAATCACCCTCGACCTGAAGGAGTTTGTTATGCTTTTGGGCCTGAAGGCAGGGTTAGGATGCAGGACAGCGGAGCGGCCGTCTCCCTGAATTCTAAGACGAGGGAGCCACAGAGAGGGCAGCCAGATCGCTGACTCTCTTGGCAGATGTCAGTGCCAAAAGCAGTGTAGTTTTGGCGGAGAGAAACTTCAGCTATAGGGGCTCGAAGTCCGACTTCGGAGCTGCAAGACGTGAGACACAGAGTCACCAAAACCTCAGCAGGAAAAAATGGCGGCAGTGAAGGTTTTCACTGTACTGAAAGCCAGCACTCTGTCCATCAGAAGCTGGAGGAACAAAAGCATACAGGGCAGCTGGCAGGCCACGCGGTCCAGACCCTGAGCCGCGCAACAGCGCTTAAACTTAGTCCACTTAGTGGTGTACGAAGACCGGATGGACGCTGCTCTCGCTCCCTGAATGGTATGTATCACCTCTTGTGAGAAACCCAGCCTCTCAAAGCACAGCCACTCAGCAGCCAGACCCATAATGGCTCCTGATCGCACCCCCTGCTTGGGAGAGAGCGTCCCTGCACCACGGGAGTTTCCATGGGTGGCCCGACAGCAGCTGCTGTAGGCAGGAAAACCAGTATGCCTTTGTGCGCTCTGGCACAACCAGGATCGCTTACAGGCTTTTTCCCTGCACACAGTCCAGGAACTGGGGGATGATCCAGACCGTTGGGAAGGTATATAGCAGTTTACTGGGCCACAGAGGGTGCGTAACAGTGTCCAATCCCAGCGGGGGAGCTCAGTTCAGTGAGAACCACAGGGCGCACTGAGCATTCTCTCATGGGCACCACCTCTGCCTTACCGAATCTGTTCCAGCCTGTGGCCTCGGCTGATCAGGCTGTCCATCCATCTGTCCATGAAGCATGAGCTGTGCGACTCCACTCTATTGAGCAGTGGACATCATGGTGTCAACCAGGGTCCGCAAAGGTGAAACGAAAAGCCCTTCCGAGCTAACCGGTGCCTCAACGAGCTCCCTCCTGGTGGGCTCGGGAATGCTGCAGCCAAAGGATATGGTACGTCTGGGTCTGCCAGACACCGATCCCGACATTGGAAACTCTGGATGATGGACAGAAGCTCCTTAAGGAGACCACAAACTGATAGCAGAGAGCTGGCGGCAGAGAAGTAAACCTGTGGTCCTGCAGAAGTACCCCCTCGGTGCTGAAGTCACAGTGTCCGGTATCTGGCGTCTTCCATGGGCTGGAACGGAGTGAGGGGAGAGCTGCACGGGGACCCATGGATGGAAGGAGTGGAGTCGTCCGACTCCCTCCTCTTCTGGAATCAGGAAGTCCAGGGCTTCAGCTGCCACAGCTCCTCGTCCTGCACGGTGCTGCTGCTTCTCCTCTGGATAGAGAAGAGCAAAGTATGGGCAGCTCGCGCCAGGGGGTGCTATCGATTTGCATTAAGGTAGCATTTTTCAACAAGGAAGCATAAATTGTCAGAACACCGGTATTTCCCTGCAGAGAAGATTCCTGAATCAATCTGGAGTTTAATGGTTAGTATCATGCACAAATGTGTCCAAAAGTAAAGTATTCAAGTTAACTCTAATAAGTAAGTCTATCTGTTTTAAACACAACGCTATCAATGTTAGAGAACCACCTTCAAATAAGTTATTAGCAAGGATGTAAGGAGCCTAGTTAATGATGATAGCTATATTAACGTTACAATATGTCGTCATTTTAACATTTCCATCGCATGAAAGAGGACTCACGCCATGTGTTTAAAGGAGCTATATGTAGGATTTCTTTAATGAAATGAATCACTATTTTACTGCCTTTGTGTGAAGGGGTTGTAACCTCACATAGTGTTATACTGTTCGGTTACCTCTGATGGCCAATATTCCTAATCCTATGCGAAGACATGCGTGCTCCTGAGCATCTTGCCTTCGGATGTGGTACCATAAAGCAACAACACCGCAGCTAACGAGAGAGTCTGCTACAACCAAAAAATGACTGGCTCCCAGCACAACATAGACTGCAACACAAACTCTACGTAAGGATATAAAAACCAACAACAAAGTTTAATGTGCTGAAGACGTCAGGCCAAACGATATCAAGTTCGGAAACATGGTCATCATCAGAAAGGCTTGAGTCAGGAGAGACCTCCAGTTTGATTTGAAACTGACAAAACTTGACAAGACTTCGTTTTCATCCTATTAGACAGGTAAACTAACATTACTGCAAAACATGTGAAATACAGTGTGATGTTGTGCTTTAGTTGGCTCAATTGAGAACGTTAGCTCGCCGGTGTTGTAGCCATAGACTGTATATAAAAAGGTTGTAGCCCTACTGGTTTTCAAATGAACTGGGTGCAATACGCGTGCATGTGTTCGTCACACATTCACGGCGATCATGATTGTATAAGTGAGCACTACATTATAGCCACATACAAAAAACTATTAAAGATTTTTTTTTGCAAGATTGCATCAAGTTGGGTTTGAGCTCACAAGACCAATAGAGAAAAGTACCTATGAGCACGCATGCCAGTCAAAAATCAACAGATTGTTTGCCTCAAGTACTGATTAAGTATGTCACCATCATGTTACCTTGTAACATGATCTTAAACAACTGGTTACCTTGAGCTATCTTACAAAATACCCAAACATGTTTATCTAGGTTTTTTTTCTTAAGGCTAAGGCAATATTGACCTCCACATTACAGCCACCTAGACACTACACATTATGACACAGGAATACTTTGACAATACTGTCAAATAATTGTCAACACTGAGCCACAGGAAGAGTAGTAAAACAAGTGGTGATATTCTGCCCACAACACACTAACAAGGGCATGGACTTGATTTAAAGTCATCATACACAACAAAATGCAAATATGCTCAAGTCAGAAATAGGGAAATGAAAAACTGTAATGTGATTTTGATATTTAACAAGTGTCCGATTTGTGGAACCAGTTAGTTGCTTTGTGTCTTACACTTAATATACGTTCAGCAAATACATTTCATTTAATGTAATGAATATGAGCTTGAATATCAACTAAGTGGATGTTTAGTTAATTTGGCGAACTGTATATGAAGGAATGGTACGCGGATTAAAACATTAGGGTATTTTGTAAGATAGCTCAAGGCATCCAGTTGTTTTAGATCAATCCCAATTTATTGCAGTCATTGTAACATTATCATGTGAGGAGCATATATTAATTCAACCTCACCTCTGATAAAAATATTACTGTAACGTCGCAGTGGGAGTTTAAATGAGTTTCCAGCATGTTGTGTGAAGCTGTCTGCAAGTTTTTTGGTCTCTGTGTGTCTGATTACGCTTGCTCATGAGTTCGAGCACCACTGCTGAAAACTACATATTACCCCTTTAAACATCAACAAATTAATTTCTGGTTTGATTGGTTGCAATCATGGCACTTTGGTCAGGTATGTTATTTATTTAATGTTAGCTCTGATGGACCACCTATAAATTGTTAGCATAACTTAGCTATGTTAGCTAACTGGCTGGGGTCTAATTTAGATAACTTACCCTTACTATTGCGATTTCAAGAACAAAATAGTGTTATAAGTATTTCATTTTTATTAGTTAGTCAACACTCCCATCAGTCCTTTTGGGGTTGGTAATGCATCTTTTCTTTCACTATCTCATGCATCCGCATTTTAAAATACTTAGTTCACTGCAGTCATTCTAATCAAAAGGATTCTTTCATGTAGGCCTAAAAAGTGTTTTTATCTAACTCATGATCTGTGTCTCTCTTTTTCTTCTACTAGCTACAAGCTACACCACACAGACAGCTGCTCTCATGATTCTGGCCAAGTGAGGAGCATCCTCATCCTGAGACTAAATGAGACTCATCCTGAGACTAAATGATAAAACACTGATGGGGACCTGTTAGGTCCCCATCAGTGTTTAGCAGAATAAGAGCTTGGAGGATGGGACTGATCCACAAAGTAAATTAAAAAAACCTTGCAAAACAATTATTTGCTGTAAACAGATATGTAATGTATTTCAATCAGCTGTGAATATCTCCCTAAAACAGAATACATTATTTTTCCTCTTCATTATTTTATAGTTCACCTCAAAGTTATTTTTGGAATCCATTATTTCTTAATTAACACATCCACATAAATTTGACATGTAATGTTAACTATGCTTGTTCCATGTTTTACTCATTAGAGGGCACTCCTGACACTGTGAAGATCCATCTCAGAAGTGGCAGCAGCCTTGCTTCTGGAACAGATATGTTCATGAAATCTCACTGAACTTACACACTGTCTGTGATTGGCATAACATAACACAGCATAAATTTGCACACATCTCTCATTTCTGTGAAATGGTTGTTGAGCTTGTCTTGGTTAAATCATTTATATTTTTTAAAATTTAATAATACATTCTTTTAAAATACAGAAATTATTAGCTGTGTATTCTTTGCTTTCAGAATCTAACCAACAGGAGACTGATACTTGAGCTTTACCCCTTAACCCTGATTGTCACAAATTCGCATCACACCTCTTCCTTTGAGACTGCAGCTGAGATAGCCTATGTATTCCCCCAATGCCTGCTTGCGCATATTCAATACGTACCTGGGAACCTTTTGCAAGCTCTGGTTTCTTGTTTATGCCTGTTGTCGCTAATTTGCATCATACCTAATTCTTTTTAAATTGTAAATAAATTCAGGCATCAAGGGGTTAACTTACTGCAAATTATTTATAGAGTATACCGCATGTTTCAGTGCACACTATAAAACAAGCTTGCCATACATGTATTTCTTTATACTGCAACATACAGTAAAAGCTTATGGCAAATTTCAATGTAATGTTGAATTATTCAGATACCACAATGCCGTGTCCACGCTTTTTGTATAGTTATTATACTCAAATCGTCTGTGTTAAGTAAGAAACATTACAAAACTCAGGCATTTATCGCCCCTAGTGTAAAAGCATTAGAAATTATCTAAACCATAGCAAATAGCCAGTACTGGTATCAATATGTGAAAGCAAAAACTAAATACTAGTGGGGATGAGTATGGAATCATGACAACCGTACCAGGAGAAATAAGAGCATGAGGCCTCTTTTAGATTACTGAAACACAACCATTGTGGGCTCATATTCTGAGTGCAGTCCATGAGATATTACAAATTCATGCTGTGATACCAAAAAGATTCCTTGACACATGGTCTGAGGCTTCAGTCCATATCCTCCACATGCCAAACTGGTAATTCTTCCACGAACACAGCTAGAGACACACAAGGCCGGCACAATTTTGGCATTGAAAGACTGGGATGAGGGAATCTATAGGGTTTATCAGACACAACACAACGAGTAATATGATGCATGGTGAGGAAAGACAAACTTGATCTTGAGCAGAGCTGACATGGAGAGAGTTCCCTTACCATCCTGGAAAGAAACCACCAGCTGAGTCCTCAGTGTGATGCTGTAGTAATGATCAAAACACAAACACAACCTTCTTGCTTCACACTGATACTCTCTCTGTTTGAATGAACCACTGATTCATGGTGATGTAAGA